AAATTCTATAGGATTATTCTTAGAGAAGTTAATTTATGCTGCTTTTTGTCTCAAACACTGTAGAACAGGTTTAGCTGGCTGAAGGGGAGTCAAGAAAAAGAGGGGAGCCTGTTTAAAACAGACATTGGGAAAAGAGCTCAAGCTTGTGTTTATGGAAAAGTAAGCTCCTCGAGGAAAGGAAACCCGCTGCAATTTTCTTCTATTTGTAGAATACCATATAATGGGTATGAATGTTGAGCACTTTTCATGATAACTTTGCCTAATTATACGCCAACATTAAGCAGTACTTGGAAGCAGAAGAAGCGGGCAGTGTTCAGCCTTTTAAAAAGAGGGGGGTAAAATGCATAGTAGCAGAATTTAAACCACAAATTATATGGGTATATTCACGGAACTCAGGAAATTCAAGAAGCATAATCCTTCCCTGTAATTCCTTATAATGCTAATATTGTTTTTGTTGTATTAGGAAATCTCCTTGCAGCAAAAGTCCAAATGGTCTTTGAGACGCTCTAGGAGGAGTTAAGCGGTTGGTGCTGGCAGGTAGTGACCATGGAGAACATGCAGGTGACAGATGGAGAGTCAAGGAGGAACTGAGRTGGTAGCTGATCCTGGAAAGGGAAAGGTGCTACCAAAGCTCTCAAAACCACATGGATTTCAGCAGCTCATTTAGATGCAGGAGTTCAGAGTGGTCTTTTCAGGATCTTTCCACAGTGAGTGGGGAAAGGGAGAGAGGAAGAGGCTTCTTCAGGGCATCCCCTGGATGAGGAGCCTGTCTCAGAAGTATATGCTGTACTCTGAAATACTTCAGTGCTGAGTAAGGAGCATTTTGAGAGCTGGCTAGTGACTAATTAATCCTGTTATTTATTTGAAGAAAAAAAAGAAAGCAGTTAAATGTCAGGTTTTGACTGAGTTGTCAGTCTGCAGCTAGAAGCCTTGTGGGATGGAAGGAGCCTAAAGGATCCTGACAGGTGACGACGAGTCACTTAATTGCTGTGTCCTGGGGGAGGCTCAGAAAGGTTCCTGGGAGTTTTATTTGGACAGTGGGAACAAGCTGCAATGTATTTAAATATGATGCATTTCATATGATTTGCTTGCTGCTGTCTGAGCACCGCAGGAGTTACCCTCCTGTCTCTCAAAAGACCCTGCTGGACAGGACGACCTGTGTGTTCATTGTTTATATATATATATATATATATATATATTATATATATATTTATATATTATAAAAAAGAAAATGAGTTACGGAGTTGAGACTGCCCTTCTTCCTTCCCAGGTTCGTGTCTGGCTGAATGTTTCAAGGGCGTCAGGTTCTGTATGGAGAGATCCAGAGGCAGGGCCCTGTCCCAGCAACGATGAGCTRTAGCTGCTAGCCCAGGGAGCTGAAATCCTTTGGAAGTGGTGGAAGTAACCAGAATACAGACTGARTATCACATCTGTGCATGTTGAATCCTTAGGTTGTGTCCTGTAACCATGGCTAATTGTGCATAAAAARTATAAAGCCAGACCAAATACTGCATCTATACTGTATTCTGACTTTAGCTTCTGAAGCGCAGAGTTTTCCACCTCAACTTTTCTTAGAAAACGTTCCTGGATAAAATAGCCATTTGCATGACACTTCTGCAATTGGAGAGGAAGCTCTAGCCTCATCTGCAAGCGTGCTGCTCCCTGCCTTTGGCTGCRCTGCCTTCATGTGAGTCTGCAATAAGAGCACTAAAATCCTGCTGTTTAAGCTGTAATGAAACCCGTTCTTTTTAACAACACGTGTTACTCTGCGGAGCTTCTCTTTGCTGTTCTGCAAATGCTGTACTGTGATACTGGGATTGCAGTGGGACTGAAAGACTACTCTATAGGTGGTTGTTACCAAAGCTACTTTTTCAATTTTGCATTCCACTGAAACTCCCTGGAAAAGGAGCAAATAGAGCATTTCTGTGAAGGTTTAAATTCCTCATCTCCTGCAACTCTTATTTCCCCAAATCTGACTTCTTGTTGTGTATGCTCCACTGTGATGCTCCCCTGATACAAGATCAAAATTTGAGACTTTTGTTAATCAAATAGAGAAGGTTTTTGTTCTTTTTTTTTAATTGACCAAGCAGCTTTAGCTTTTATTATTATTTAGCTTTTATTATTATTATTTATTATTTAGCTTTGCCTTTTAATCTTCCTCTTTGTTTTCTCCCAGCATCTTCCATCTCTCTCTCTCCAGCGTGCTTGGCACAGTGCTGCTGAGTGCTTGCCTCAGGAGTCTTTGCTGGTCCTCCTTGAGTATTCCCCATGCTGTTGGAATGGGGATGTGGAAACAACATAGAATATTTCAGAATATTTCAGAATATATTCTCCTTTTCTTTATTATTTTTATAGCAGTTGACACTGTTTTATGTACTTCAGTGAACTGCTGTTGTACACAAAATCACGTTTTATCAAATGTGTTGTTACTGATAACCTCTTCCCAATTACTCCAAAGCAAAATAGGCTCGGGTTATAAGAACGTACTTTCATTTTGTCTAGTGTCATCTTTGTTTTGGAGGAGACTCCTGTGGTTGCCTTGGAGGAATATTTGCTGAGTGCTTGAGGGGGATCCCTTTCTGTGGAACGTGTTGGATTGTGAGGTTGCCTGCGGTGAGCGCAGTTACAGAGCTAAAGCTTTCACTAGTTTCCCTGAAACAGTTTCTTGCCATAATAATTTTTAGAAAGTATTCAGGCTGTTTTGTTCCCTTATGATGCCATTTACACCGTGTTTTCATGTGTGCAGCTTCCGTGGGGGGTGAGCTCTGTCCTAGGACAGTCTGGGCTGTGCTGGGGCGCACGGTGCGTTTGGAGTGAGCTGGGCGAGCGGCCACAGCTGGAATCRTGGCCTGTGTCTGTGCAGACTGGGTTACTTTTTATCACTTTATGTCACTTCTTATTTAAAAACAAACCAAAAAAAAAAAGAAAAAWMCYCTTCAGTCTATGGAGCAGCTCATGATTCTGTAAATTATTTCATATTACTTGGTGGGAAACTTCATTTTGTCAGTGGGGTCTGCTTGTGTTGCTCATGGGACTAGAGCATTTCCAAGAAGTACAAACAGTAGGTTAAGAGGTGAAGGAAAGTGCCCTTCTTTTTGTCCTTTTGTGAAATTATCATTTTAAGCATGATCTGAGTAAAAATATCTATGAAGAATTTTCTCCTCTATAAAGCTCGTGACCTTAGAGGTGAAAACATAACCCATAGATAGKAACAGATCCCAACCTGGCACTGTGATCAGCCACCATCAGTCTCTGAAATACATGACTATAACTGGACCCAAACACAGCTAATAAAGACTGTCCACAAACCACTTACCTAGAGATCTCTCAAAGCACTGGTGGCTTCAGCATTACAGATGCTTCTGTTTTCTGAACCTTTCTGGCACTTTTACTCACCTAGAGCTGAAGGGATGACTGGGGAGCCGGTTGCTCTTTTTTGCTGGGTTATTTCCAGGCAGAATGAGTTCCCCGGTCCCATGCAATGGCACGGGTTAACGTGGTGGCTTCCAAGCACTTCTTTCTGAACTTGGTTTTGCTGACAAAGGCTTGTGTTCAACCACAGCCTAAGTGGTAGCTGATGTAAGATAAGAAGTTAAGAGATTGCACCATTTTACTCAGAGACACTTTAATGGGTTGGGGAACGAGTTAAGTATACGCTGGATAAAATGTAAATACCAGATGATAAGGTAACCTGCTGCTGTGTGGAGTCTCTTGACAAAAGAGAATCTGCTTGAAGAGAAGGTGTGAAGTTTGAAGAAGGGTTGGAGGAAGTTTTTTGGAAACCCYTCTACGGTGAAGACACCATAGTGGCAGTCTGAGGTGGTCAGTCTGAGGTGGAGGAGCCTGTGCTGCCGTGAGGTGGCTCCTATAGCATGGGGAGAAGCCCTTCTCCATCCTTTCCCCTCAGTTTTATTGCCCATTTATTGCCTCAGTTTATGTGGAGATGTGGGCTGCCATATCCCTTTTTAATTCGCTTTTCAGTGTTGTAATTTCTAGATTGTGTTGTTGCCTCTCATTGGGAAGAGGACTTCCTCACTACCTAGTTTCTGTCAGATGATTTGGGTTGCAGCAGTATGAGTTATTCTCTCTGATCTTTTAATTGCAATTGTAACAGACTTCTAAAACATCTCTCTGGTACATTTTGACTGCTGGTTAACTAACTACTGGTCTGGCCATTTCTTAAGTTTGTGTTGCTTGTAGTGAAAGCAAATATTTCAATTCTAGGTGTCCTTACCAGGCTTTTTCATATGCAAAGAATTGTTCGGGTTGCATGTTAAGAGGTGTTTYGAATTTAGTGAAATTCTTCAATCTAAATTTTATTTAAGGCACAGGCTACTTCCCTCTCCCCCTCTCCACGCTCTAAGGCCGAACTTAACTCCGTTGTAAGGAGCGGCCTATTTGTGGGCACCATATCTGATTTTTATGTTTCCCCGAGACGCTGGAGGATTAGAGCAGATTATGGTGTTGGGATCATGTCTGACTCCTCGTGTTCCATTTAGTCATAAATAAACCCCTGAAAAATCTGAACGTTGCCATGGTGATGTTAGGAAAAGCCCGGGATGCGGAGTAAGCGAGCGGCTTAGAAGCCTCCTGTCACTTAGAGTAATGAGCAGGCCGCAGTCAGAGGCAGCACGGGAGTTGGGCTGCTGCTCGGTAACTTTTGTAGCCCGCATCAGATTCTGAAAGCAGATTAGAAAATTAAATGCCTACGAATATGCTGCTTAGTACCTTGCAGCGACTGACCTCACGGCAAATGGAAATGGGCTTTTATGTTTTGCCTGTTTGTTTCCTAACTCCAATATTTTTTCACTGTCACAGGGAAATAAGCAACGCTTCCACTCTGTGTGTGCTTCATTTCAGATGACAATTTGCTAGAATAAAAAAAAAAAAAATCAACTCACAAGAATTTAGCATTAAGCCATGTAAACCACAGTTTTCTTCTTCTGAAAGTGCAGTATATAAAAARTAAATTGCATTAAAATCTATTTTTTTCCTTTTAGCCTTTATAACCTGGCTTCGCTGGAACTTAGAGAAAATTTGCTGACATATTTACCCGAGTAAGTGACATTTCATGCGTTTGATCATATTAACACAACATATGCTCTTGTTCTTAACATTTGCTAATGTCTGAAACTCAATGACAGCTAGAAAAAAATATTCACCGTGGATTGACAAAGAGCATTTATGAGATACAGCTTTGTTTTAACAACAGCTAGTTACATCTGTGACTCATAATTAGGAGCAGGMGTCTGCAGGCTGTGCAGATTGCTTTTGCTTGATATAGCTATTCTGGATAAAATACTTCTTCACAAAACGTGGCTCCCTCCACACATGCAGCTAATGCATCATCGAGGGGAGTGGTGGTTTGGGTTGTTCTCACAATGCAATTTCATCACTATGAAAATGGGGCAAGAGAATCTCTGAGGTTTCAGCAGTGCTGCGTGGCCTATTGTAATACTTAAAGAGCTCTCATATTAAGGACTGCATAGCTGAAASCTTCAAAAACCTGGATATCCAAACTAAAAACTAGGCCTAGTGATGTCTCAAGTCCTAATCCAGCCCCAGCGTACTGAAGGGGGACGTCCAGGTGACTCTGTGCTCTCTGCAACCTGGCAGAGGAGGTCAGTGAGATCCAGCACGTATCTTACAACTTGGCATCGTTTTTGGCTGCTAAGAGGTGGCTTTGTCTGTTTGGAGTAGTTTCTATCCCTCCTTATCTGGCTGTTGTTTTCACGAGTTTTGTTTTTTGAAAAAAAATTCTTTTTTTTTTTTTTTTCAGTTATAATAGATCTAAGCTACTCTAAGAATCTCAGATCAGAATGTGTTCCCCAGAGTTAAAACCTGTTCCCCAGTTGTTTTTGGGTGCCTTTCCTTCCCACCTAGTTAGGAGTTAGGCTCAGCTCTTTATAGCTGTGAGCCACAAGGAACTTTAAATGTCAGCAATTGGAAGCTCTGAATTGCTGGCTAGGTTTCTCTGTGAAGTGCCAGAACAAAGATGCTATAAATGTTGACATTTTTATTGCTGCTTGAAAATTCTAAGTGTCAGTAATGAAGGCAGCAAGCCTCTGGTTTTCTTGCTTCTGCAGCTTGGGGAAGGTAAGCAGAAAATCTGGAACAGGCTGTTTTTGAGGAAGGAAGATGGTCCTCTGTTACCTGTTAATGTTCACTTCCAAAGTCAGCCTGAAAGTCTTCAGGAATGGATAGTTGAGGTTGAAGGAGGCAAATGATGAACTTACTGAGTTTTGGCTTATGCTTGTTTTGTGCGCCATTGAATGTGATGACTTTTTCTGATTGCATAACTTTAAAACACCCCCAAATAAATCTAAACTTTTGTCCACACCAGAAGACTGACTGACTGTTAACCTCTGGGTAGTGATTTGATTGCCTAGGCCAAGTTTTATGTTTCAAGGGCGTACAGCTGTACTGACAAATCAAATATTTCTTTTTGACAGCATATTAATGCAAATGGTCTATGCCCAGTAAAATAACTGTCTGTCAAGAATCTGTTGTAATTTGAAATACAAGTTTCAGTAAAATGAGCTCATCATTCAAATACCTGGGGTTTCTGTTGGTTTCGTCTGATGTGGTTTTGTTTTAACTTATCTCACAGATCACTTGCCCAGCTACAGCGACTAGAAGAACTTGATTTAGGAAACAATGAACTTTATCACTTGGTAAGAGAACATGCTGCTTAACATGTATTGGTCTTGTCTCGCATGTCTTGTCTAGGATGTCCAAAATTGGAGAAGAAAAGTGCATTTTATATATACAAATAAATGTTGGCATGGGGGGTTGTTGGTGTCCTAGTCCTATTCAGTACAATGTGGTCTTATCTGAGAAATTTCTGCAGCTGTTCTCTGGAACAAGAGATGCACAGATCATTTCTAATGATCAATGCAAAATAAGTTGTTAACACTTCAGCTTTTGTAGGATGCTGGAGGTGCCCTCCTGTTTCCAGAGGTGGTGGGAGCCTCTGGGAACAGAGTGAGGCAGAATGTGGCAGGGGCTCAGGTTGTGGCAGCTGGATCTGCCAGAAGATACCTGCTTTCTTCCTTAACTTACTTCAATTCAGTGCTGTAATTGCTGTGCTTGGGAGTGTACATGCAGTTTATGACTGTATACTTACGAAGCATGGTAACTTTCAGTAATTAAGYAAATTTAAGTAARTTAATTAAATCTATTAATTCATGTAAGAAACTACAGTAACTAAGTTGTGTGACAGCGTTCCCAAATACTTACAGGCACCCTGCTGCATCATCTGTGGTACTTCTGAATAGTGCTGGGAATAAGGAATAGGTTTCCTTGGATTATAATTAGGGGTGACTATCGGGTGTTCACTTGTAGCTCTTATGTTACCCAACACTATTGCTTCTTTTCTAGCCAGAAACAATTGGTGCACTTTTCAATCTGAAAGACCTCTGGTTGGATGGAAACCAATTAGCCGAAATACCTCAGGTAACGATGAGCTCCACTTACACTGGTTTGAAGCTGCTTTTAAAAGAAAACATTCTTCCATACTGAAAAGGAGGGAGACAATCGAATACTCTTCTGTATTGTTTTTTTCTCCAGTTTACTTTGCCTGGTTTAGGTTTTGAGTGTTTAACAATTGCCTCTTAAAAAAGTGGTTTTGTAGGAGACTGTAAATTTTGTTCTGCGTGGTCAAGTATTGTTTCAGGATTTCGACAAAGGAATTGTTGGTAGTACACACAGTGTTCACCTCATGGGATGAAATATCCTCTCTTTGTAATCCTGGTCCAGAGATGAGGGAACATCCAGTTGGCTGAGCTAACCCTGGCCTTTTGTATCCATCTAAGCTGCAGTTTTGACAGTCTTCAGGATGAACTGTGGTCAACTGCTGTTCAAAAACAGTGTGTGACAAGTATAATGATGGAACTCTGACCATAAATAGAAATTTTGATCAATGCAGGCAAATCCTCCATCTAACAACAGTCATGAGATGGCCTTAGCCTTAGCAAGATGAGAGGCCTTAGCATTCAATACATTAAATTCTGTTTCTTCAGAACATTAGTGAAGCGTAGGAGATTTTTTTTTTCCATTTCTGCCTTAGAGCCAAGGCAAAACCTGTTTTCCCCTTCTTTGTGCACTCTGGTGTTATTTGCAGTATTGAACCCACTGTCAACACTAACTTGGAAACTGGTTACAGTTTAGTGGGCTTTGACTTTATTGTTATTGGCTAGAGTGAAGAATTTTTTTAAGTAGATGTATTTAAATCCTGATAATCGCTCATAAAAGGTCAAGTGTGACTTCAGTGATCATTTTTATTGAAGCTGGCCTTAATTATGGATTTTTCTTTAGCTGGTAGGTTAAGGATTTTTCCTGAGGGTGCCTGCATTAATGAAAGAGTCTCTTAGAGGGAAGCTTTTTCTAAGTAAAAGGACGGATCTTGTGGGAACCTTGGATTCAGGTTGTCACTAAATGAAAATTTCATATGTGTTAAAAATAAGGGCCAGGCCCCCATTTTCTCCCCAGATGTTTTGTTCTGAGGATGATTTGGAGCACCTCTAAAATATGAGGTACTTCCATACTGGGAACAAGTAGGAGCTGTAATGGCTAATAGGAAGAAGGTATCGCAGTCAGGCTCATAAGCTAATTGGCAGATTACCCCCATGAAAAAGCAAGTAATAATTGGTAATTGTAGAGGTGGCACTGCAACTTGGAAATGTTAACATGCTTGCTAGATTAGCTCTCCTTACGCCTTTTTCTCCCTTTGTTGCAATTGGGAGATAGGAAGATAAGAAATCCCTAAACGTGGTGGTGTGTTGCTGTATCAGCCAGGAGAAACTAATCCCAAATTGCCTTGGGTTAGCTGGGAGAGGCAGCCTTTAATTACCTGGAGCCTGATAATCTGTACTTCTGAACAACAGTTTTGCAGTCTTCACCTAAGGAAAGCTTTAGTTTCAGCTGCTGTTTTGCCTGGCTGTGCTCAGTGCASCTTTTCTGCCTGCTGAAGCCAACTGTGAATATTTGAAATAAGAAATTGTAATTGAGTCACTTGAGTCACTTGACATATCACGTAAATCAGAATTCTTTACTTTTACAGCATTTATAGGTCACACAAAGACACAAAGAGCTCTTTTTCCTTACGAAATTTCACTGTGATAAGACATTTTTCAAATTGTGTGTTACATGCTCGGGCACGACTTACACTTTGTCTTGTATCGCAGGAAGTCGGAAACCTGAAAAACCTGCTTTGTCTGGATGTTTCTGAAAATAAATTGGAATGCCTTCCTGAAGAAATTAATGGTCTGGCTTCTTTAACAGACTTGCTCGTTTCTCAGAATTTACTCCAAGTCTTACCTGATGGCATTGGTAAGTACAAAGGTGAAGGTTATCACATGGAGCCATTTAATCAGCTGTAAACTGAGAGTTGTTTTCAAATTTATTGAAATCTCATCTCGTGTAAGAGATGTGCTTGGCTCAGCATGTTTTTTCTTCTTAGTTTAAGATACATAGCTCTGTTACCTTTGCATTTTAATTGTCTGCATGATGACTACCTCTTTAATCCTGTTTTAGGCTTGTATTTGATATCCACCCAAACAAAATACAAATTAGTATGTCCCTGTTGGGTCCCAGTCATAACTCTTGAACATAAAAAATTCTACCTTGTAACTGGCTGTAGGTCACTTAATGAAACTGGTTGATGAACCACCACAAAAGGCCTCCTTTTTAGTGGGGAAAATGTAATTAACCTTGAGCTGAACAGTGTGATTAATCCTGTAGTAAACTGGTGGAAAGCTGTTCCAGCTTCAGTCTATTACTCTTCACCCTGGAGGAACCAAGATGCAGCTCTTCTGGGTAGGACCCCTTAACACTGCTTTGTGAGCAGTGCTTCTTTAAGAGGCAGAAAGTTTTACCCATGCAGTAGTTGTGAAGAGGAGTTCAGGGAGTGATTCTTTGGTGCAACTCATCAGCAGGTTTTTGCAGCAGCAGGGCTATGTCCTGCCCTCTGCTTGCCAGGAGTTTTCTCAGAAATATCAAGTTGTAGGGGAGGGAGGATCTCTGCATGTGCCTTAACTGGGAAAGTGCAAAAATGTGGTATAGAATGGATGTTCCCTCCTACACCACATGCCTTATGAGCCTATGGAAAGGTAAATATTTTTCTAGAAATTAAATCAGGGGTTTGGGGGGGTGAATACTTGTCTATAGTTGAATAGTGTGTGTTTGGTAAAGAGTTCCAGCAGTCCTCTCTGCTGTAATGAGCTGGCCAGGGCTGTTCTGTAGGTGAAAAATGTTGCTGTACTCTCTGAAAGGATATAGACCCTAGAGCTGACTAGAGGGGACTTTGTAACCAGTAGGTGACCAAGAACTGCTTGTGCCTGAGCAGCCTCTTAAATGCAGGTCCCTTGTTGGGGAAGGTGGGAATGAAGGGCCAAGGCATTCCAGGTCAGGCCTAGTTTGCATGTGTGTTTGGTGTGTATTTTTGGATGTGCTTTTGTTTCAAGTCAAGAAAAATGCTACTTGTATAGGTATAATAGTTTACTCGTGTCTAGAAGAGTGGGTAGAGCTGCTGAACTTGTTCTTTCTGTGGAAAACTGAAACTTGGTTTGTGTGTGAAATTGAGAAAATCTGGCGCTGGAGTYGGAGTTCAGGTCCCGGGTCTGTGTGGAAGCCCTGGGAGGAGCTCAGCTGGGGGTGGAATCGGTCGGATGTTGGACCCGTAGACACCATCAAGTTGAGCTCCTGCTCAGAGCAAGGCTAGAGAGGGCTGTCACCAACGGCGTGTGGCTCTGTCTAAGTCAAGTCTCAAAAGCCCCTGGGGATGGTCGTGGATCTGATATGTCTGTAAGCTGCCTCTTTCAGTGTTGTTCTGCTGCCTAGGGAGGAAGTCTTTCCTACTGACCAGTAGAGACCTCCAAGCCACTTTTCTTGGCCACTGCTGTCTTGCCTGCTGTTGCTGAAAGGGCTTTGGCTCAGTCATCCCTGTCTCTTTCCTTCAGGATGCTGCAGGCTGCTCCTAAATGCCTCCTTGGCTCGCTCCGCTTCAGATCACAGGTGCCCATGGCTGTCTTGGTGGCCTTATATTTGATCCCCAGCAACTCTTTGAACTTTGGGGTGGAGGGAGGGCAGCCTAACCACCATACTGTGGGTTAGGTGCTGAGTAGATGGGAGTTATAACAACTTCCCTTGATCTGTGTCTCTCCTCAGGTAGCCCAGTGGTGGATTACTTTATTTGTGGAGAGTTGGTTCATCTCCAGCCTGTCACCTACCATAACCCCAGGGTGTTGCACAGCCAGGGTCTTGCCAGCCTCTACAGTTGCATCTTCTATTTTTTCTGCCCAAGTGCAAGGATTTGCTCCATGCTGAGCTTCATTTGGTTTCTGTTTAGTTTGCTGTCCTTCAGTGTATGAGGCATCTCCTCATGACTTAACGTTATCAGCAGGTTTGATCTGCCCACATATTGCAGCTCTTCTGGACAGCAGGCGGGCGCCCGGGGAGGAAATTTTGTCCATAACAACTAGTGGTTGCTCCTCAGTTCCCTGTCCTGGATTTTGCTGCTATGAGCACTATTTTCCATTGCTCAGCAAAGATCTTTCTGGCTCAAGCAGCAGAACAAGGTGAGCTTTCTGCTCTGGAAAGTCCTATGGTCTTTCTGAGGAGAAAACCTTCAAAGTTTGGTGTCTGCTGCAAGAGGTGGTTTTGGACTTCATGCCTTCCTAGCTAGCTGGTATTTTAGGACAAGAACGCCTTGATTCTTGACCTTGTTGGGATTTGGCTGTCTCTTCAATGTAAGATTTTCTTGGTTGAGCCGGCATAGGTCTCTGGTCTCTGCTGAGCACTCCTTTACTTACAACTATTATATAAAGAAAAATGTGATTTTCATGAGTGTGTGTACAGGCCTTTGGGCAGACTTGTAGCTTTTAGCTGTTTGACATGGTATTCAGTTCGTGTTGTATTTTTAGTACAATGTAACATGCATAAGTATTGAATATGCTATTAATAGTGAATATGAACTCAATAGCCTGGTGAACTCACAAAGCGTGGTGCAAGTGGCAACTAAAGCAGTGCATGGTTTCTTTTTTACTTGAAAAAACAAAGGATTTCCTTGTACTAGCAAATTTCTAAAATTTCTGTAGCACAAGATTTTCCGTTGACTAAAAGCAGATACCTGAGGATAGAAGCCAAACAAGTGTGGTGTCCTTTCTGTGCAGGAAAACTGAAGAGGCTGTCCATCTTGAAGGTTGATCAGAACAGACTTATTCAGCTAACAGATGCAATTGGAGACTGYGAAAGCCTTACTGAATTAGTTCTAACTGAAAACCAGCTGCTGGTAAGTCTGGTCCTCACTGCTCACATGGCTGGGGGTGATTAGGCCTGATTCACTTGGCTTGTAAGGCCACTTGCCATTGCTACTGCCAGGCAATGACTTTCCTTTAAAGACACCTTCTTTCTACCTGTTAAATGACTGCCGAAGATTGAATGAGGTGTAGTTAAATTCCAAAGGCTTAAGCAGTTATGTATTCACCTTTGAATTTTTCATGATCATTAAGGAAATTGGAGAGCCTGAGGGGCAGGTATCATTCCCTTCATTGCCTTTTTAATGTGGAGCTTGTGTGGCATTGCGTGGTTGCAGGTCCTGCTTTGTGTTACCTTGATGAGGCCTGTTAGAAGTGAATAGAAGTCCCATGTGCTCCAGAGSTGCTCTTGTACTATCTCCTGCCCTCCTGCTGTGCTTCAGACAGACATTTATGATATTATTTAAAACTAAATTTGAAACTTACTTCTGTTAGGCATTTCTTTCCATTATTGTAAAGCTGCATTCACATAATACTGACACTTGAAATGGAGAGTRTGTATAAAAATTTAGCTTTGAGCTTTTAGGTTGGTGCTTGGTTAAGCCTGTTTGAATGCCCTTTGGAAGGACAAATCTCCAGACATAAATTCATAGCACCTGAGTTGGAAGCTTCTCTTCCTCAATCAGCTATTTAGGAATCCTCAAGTCAGATACCATGGGCAWTCTGCTTACAAGCATCTCTTAACAGCTGTCATGCATCTGTCTTCTAAATGCAGAGATAACCCCTGAATTGGTTGGTATTAGAATTTGAAATCTTGTGTAGATTTTTTTCTGAAATATCTTGAAACTCCCTTGGAAGGCACGGTGATGGCCAAAGATACTTAAACTCCAGTTTAAAAATGGATCAATCCCATAATTTGTTTTTAAAGTGAGATAAGTTTTGTTCTGACTTGGTGAGCTTGCCATGCTAACTTGCCCACTGTTTTGTTTTTGTTGGTGCAGACATTGCCGAGGAGCATTGGCAAACTAAAGAAGCTGAACAACTTAAATGTCGATAGAAACAAATTAACTTCTTTGCCCAAAGAGGTAAGTTTTGTGCCATTAACTGTTTCAGATGGGAATATACAAACACAAATCTCCAATTTCAGATACCTATAGGAAGTACCTGTAGGAAGTAACAGGGAGCTTTGGTCTACTCTGTTCCTCTGAAAGAGATCACAGCCAGGAACTTGTCCATCAGAGCTGAACAGCAGTTGTAGTCGTGTGGCTTGAAAGGTCAAAATGACTTTGAACAAGAAGGCCCAAATCTAATTAGCTTGTAACTAGTGATTCCTAGTGGGGATGTCAGGTCCAGTGCTGTCTGAAGACTAGAAAATCTCTTTGAGTGAATCTGTTTCAACACAGATATCCCATAGATAATGCAGAAATACAAACAGGAGTTTTTGTAACCTTGCTTTTGTGAACAGGGCTGAAGTGCAGGTTTCAGATTCTGAAAAAACAACCAAACAAAACAACAACAAAAATTTAGCACTAGTTTGATGGTCTGTTTGGAGATATCAGATTACTGACACACAGACCTAAAGTGACCAAAATCATTCATATCTTAAGTCTTATAGCTTTGATCATTGGGTCTTCTTGTCTCTCATAATAATAAGGTGTGAAATGAGACTAGAATTTATGATGTAAAATTAAATACAATGATGGCCTTAGTGCAGAAACAAGTTCTGGAAAGAGATTTGGCTGGTTGGTTTGAAAAGAGGAATCATAACAGAGGCATCAGATGGAGTTGCTTTTGTTAACACTACTCTTTTGTAATAATTTTAGGTAATTCTTCCTCTTTATTTTCCTACCTGTAATGAACATGTGACTCCTGGGTCTTGTTAGCACTTTGTCACTTCCAAAAATCCAGGAGCAAAAGGGGTTGTCAGGTGGCAGATGGTGGTGGGACCTGAGAAGCATCAAGGCTGGCTAATCAGCACTCRCTTCCTTTTAGGCCTTGCAGCTTATGGAGCTGGGATGTCTTGAGGAAGAAGGAARGTGTCCAGGAACCAGGAGGTGGGAAGAGGCCCTGGAGGGGAAGAAGAAAAAGGAGGGGAAATAGAGTGGTTTAGAGAGGGGAAAGAGGTTGGTTGCAGAGAAGCCCTTACATATTCTTGCCTATCCAGTCCAGTAAATGCCTGTTTGGGTAGGTGGTGGGAGAGGGAACATGACGTGGGCTCTGCAGCTCCTCAGGCAGGACAGTTTGCTCTGAGGTACTGCTAGTTCTGAACCAAAAATTGCTGTCAGCAGACCCTGCCTGGCTGCATAAATGAGAGCAAGACTGAGGGTCCCAGGGAAACCAGGTTTCGAGRCTGGATGTTGGATGACAGTTTTGATCTTGTTCTTTAGCAGGAAATCTCCCTTGCCTTCATAAAGAACTTAAAACACCCATGGAATATGCTAAAGGATTTTTACTTGAGGCTTTGTACTTGAGCCTGTATGATGTTGTGCCCAACTCCCCCTAAAGCAGAGCTGCTCTGAGTGTGTTAGAGCATGTGGGGTTTTATAGATGCACTATAGTTCCAGATTCATCATTCATAACTTATGTAATGTATAAGTACCCTTAGCTCAGGCTGTCTGTAGCACTGGAAAGGGAGAAATCTCCCAAATAATTTTTGTGTTTTGAAGAAGGTTGAGGAAAAGTGGAATGCCCTGTCTGTCAGATGTCACAGGGAAAACAATCTATCATCAACCTGCACAAACAAAAGTAGTAGCTCCACGGGATATGTAAGAGATGGAAACTGGCAGCTCCTGAGGACTTGCAGGCGCTGTACGAAGCCTAGAGCAAGTGGGGGAGATGTGTGAGGGGAGCAGTGAGGCTTGGAAGGACCAAGGACAAGGGTGAGAGGAGGCGGCTYGGATTCAGGAGGAAGTGAGGTGGCATTGATACATGTATGTGTCTGTCTGGGGAAATCAGAGAAGCAGGGACTTGGTGCAGGCCAACGGCATCGATGCTGAAGATGCCAAGGACTGGGGCCAGAACAGTGAGGGAGCCAGCGAGGGAGAAGCAAAGAACAAAAACCTGCATGGAGGATGTTACTGCACACAGGGCTTCTGGCCAGCAGTGCACAAGGGAGGGACACCCTTCTGCAAGGGGGTCTGTTTGGGGAATGGGGATGATGAGGAAGAAGAAGATGTTGCCTGAAACCAGGTGAACTGGAGGGTTGTAGGAAGCCCATAAGGTAAGTACAGGAGAGYGTGGTTCACAGGGAGTGTGAGCAGATGAGTGTGGAGACCTCCTTGGTATCTGCTTCTTTGAAATAGACTCCTCTTTCTGTAAAGGTCTCCATGCTTGTGTATCTTTCTTATTAAAGCAAACACTTTGAAATTACAGCTAACATAAGGTTTCCCAAGTGTTTCATTAAAATATGTGGGGTTTTGTCCTCTGTAGAATTTGTTTCAGAATTGTAATTTAAAGAAATTTAAAGAATTGAGTCTTCATCTAACAGGAGATATTATCTGCCTTCTAGATCTGAGTTCAGAGCTAGCAATGGTAACAAGTGGAAAGTAAGTTACTCCCGAATCCATAAAAAACTTCTATCATGGCCTGTGTTTATAATCGTCTTTATGTCAGTGCATTGCAGGTCCAACTATGTAGCCACCCAGACTTGCAATTTCAAATCMTTATGCTTAGGCAGTGCGAGAATATATTTTTTCCCTCAAGTCTTTAGATTGCCTTTTAAAAATGCTGAAATGCTACTTTTGAATAGAGAGACAGTTCTCTGCTCATGTTTGTTTGGTTCTGCTGCTTCATTTTCTTTGTGTAGCATTTTTCTTAATCTCTAGCCTTTTGCTTTAAACCAAATAAGAGCTGTTCTGTAGTACAAGTTTTCTAGTTAAAATTCAAGGAATTCAGCAGTCACACTTTATAGCTCTGAGAGTACTCTGTGCAAGGGCAGTGCCCAGGTGTATCGAGTGCTGTTGGCTGCAGTGCAAATTCTGCACAGGAGCAGCTTCAGGAGTGCTGATAATGGCAAAGATGCCAGTGATTGCTGGGAATGGCAGGGAGGAAGAATTTGCTGTCTTGATGCCTGCCTTCTGCCTTCCTTCTCCTTGTTTTTGGCTTTGGAAAAACAACAGCAAAAAGAAGGAAAACTGAAGAAAAGATGGAACATCATACTTTTATCATACCTGTTTGTTTGTTTGTTTGGGAGGTTCTGCCTGATGGTGAGAAATCCATCTTTCGCATTTATTTTCCTTTCAGGCTGACTAATGAATACTTAAAGTCAGTCACAGGATTCCGACCCCGGTCATTTTCACCACCACTGCCTGCTGCGTGTTGCTCAAGATGCCCCTTGAGATAGCAGGGCAAGACTGTAGTCTCATCCCTTTGGATTAGSAGTCGGCCTTAGCCTCTGTACACAGAAGCAGAGAGGTGGGAGTAGAGCCTGTGCAGCCGAGGTTCTTGCTGAWATCTTCCTTCCTTCTCTTTCCTGCTTTCTCTCCTCCTTTCTCTGGCCATCAAAGCTGCAGGAACAGCTGGGAGGTGGTGACCTTCACCYGTAAGAACTGGGTGTGAGATAAGTCTTTTCTTTGCCCACCTCAGGACTTCTGCTGGAGGGGAAAGGGTTGTAGAGTCTAGCAACATGGTGTGTAGGAGAAGTGGGAGCCTATGCTGAACAGAAGAATATCTGCACCGTGTGCCGTGTATCCACGTGCTTGTGTGTCTGCCCCTACCTTCAGGCTGCTGCTTGTAGCAAAGAGAATATTTATAGATGCAGTATCAGAAACTGGGTGTCTGTTTAGCCTGGTGAGGTAACTTATGAGTTTTAGCTTTTCTCTCTCCTTTATTATTTATTTATTTATTTCTTCCTTTGATTAGCAGTTGACTGGGGTTGGATTTTGGGCTACCATTCCATTACATGAGCAGATGGTTTCTCTGCAGACCTGTAAAACGAGTCTCTACCTTCTGCTGTAAAACTTCTTGGGATTATTGAGGGACTTGAATGCAAAACTTCTTCAAAGTTTCCTGGTTCAAATGTTCTTCTGTATCTGGTTTCGGTATTTAAAGTAGATCTGAAACAGCTGAATGTCTGACAGAGAGTTGAGTCACTGGCAGGTTTTTACCCCAGTATCTTGTTGTAGAGCTTGATCCTGCTCTAAATGAAGTGAATGGCGAAACAGATTTCAGCAAGAAGCAAGTATGTCTAAACCTGTTCAGAGTTACAAATGTTTTTCCCTTCAAACTCGCCAGACCTGCCCGGTGACTCTTCAGTCTTGAAATCCCACCCTGGCACCGGAGCTCTGGTGAAACTCAGGTGTTGATTTTGGCACTTACATAAATAACCTCCTTAGGATGTTTGCCAGTCCATGCGCTTTGGTTAATGAGTCTCTACAACTTGCAGAGATCTGGTAACGTGTCCTGCCTGGCTCTCCTGTGTATTGTGCCCAGAATATTACTACAGTAGGCAAAACTGTAGGTTTGTTTGGGTATAATCCTGCTTTTTTTTTTTTTTTTTTTTTTTTTATTTTATTTTTTTTTTTTTTTTTTTTTTTTTTTTTTTTTTTTTTTTTTTTTTTTTTTTTTTTTTTTTTTTTTTTAACAATTTAAGTTATTTTATTAGTTAAACATTTAGTTATTTTAGTCATTTCACTTGATTATTTCCTGCTGTTTCTGGCTTTAACTTCCTTTGTCCCTTCGCTTCTCTCATGTATGTAGAAGAGTTTGTTTGTGTGTCTGGAGGGGGTGGAAGGGAAACCAGAAAGGGGCAACGTGGGACAACGTGAGGGAGCTGGAAGAGAAGCTGTGCTGCTCTGCTCCCTCCGTGCTGTTCAACAGGGGTGCAGGGAGGTTGCAGTGAATTTATAGAAACTAGCTCATTTAAAGTTTAGCTAATAGGACCGTTTCTTCCGCCTCTAAATACATTCTATCCTTGAAGTTAAAGGATTAAATGCCTATTATCTAGGGCCAAGGAAAATTCTGACTTTATCTGCTCTGAATCCAAACAGAATTCTGGTAATGATGCCCTGAGAAAAAGGCTCCACAATGAAATAGGAACTGTTTAAATTCCCTATTTATTAACATGAGTTGTATAAGCCTATTAAGAGTTTTTGGTACTGACAGCTGTACTGAAACTTGCATAAGAGATGACACTAGTTCTTCAGTTGAACTAGTCACGTACTAAAGAGGAATTAGGGTTAGTATTTGTCACAGTTTCATGTTCTTGCATAGCTTATATGTGCAGGAAAGGTGCTAACAGTTAAAGGCTAACAGAATTGATCAGTTGCTTTTGTGCAGTTAGCAGATTATGAGATAAAAAAGTATAGTAATTTTAAGGTCAGTAAAGTAAGGGTAGATGTTGATGGGAAACCTCAATGACACTCATACTCTGATGCAAGTCCACCTACAAATAAACCATTTTGTTCAGATGTCACAGTTGTAAAATTGCTTATCTCAGAATTAATAGCTTGTAGGAATTGCTTTTCTCTGTGGATTCATTCTGACTAATGACTTTTGTTTAATCCGGACTGGTTATTTTGGGGGGATGGTGAGATCAGACAAGTGGATAACTTTTAACTTAAAATTGCTGGAATAAAATAAGTGTCAGAAGTTTTGTGTATTAATTAGCCATGTACAGCTCATTTTGGAGTTGGGACATTTTTGAGTTGAGACACTTTTATGCTGTGTAGTTTGTTAAAGAAGAATGTGAGGAGGACTTCTGGGCTCCCCAGTATGAGGGACATGGAGCTTCTAGAGAGGGTCCAGCAGAGGGCAACTAAGATGATTAAGGGACTGGAACCTYGTATGAGGAGAGACTGAGTYGGGCCTGTTTAGCTTAGAGAAGAGAAGGCTGAGAGGGGATCTGATTAACATGTGTAAGTTCATGAATGGAGATTGTAGGGAGGAGGGGGCCAAGCTCTTCTCAGCGGTGACCAGTGATAGGACAAGGGGTRATGGGAAACACAGGCAGTTCCATCTCCAGGTGAGGAGGAACTTCTTCACTGTGAGAGTGACAGAGCCCTGGCACAGGCTGCCCAGGGAGGCTGTGGAGTCTCCTTCTCTGGGGATCTTCAAAACCCGCCTGGATGCCGCCCTGTGCCCCATGCACTGGGTGTTCCTGCAGGAGCAGGGGGACTGGACTAGATGATCTGTAGAGGTCCCTTCCAACCTCAACCATTCTGTGACTTTGAAGYCTCCTCAAGTCTTTGGAACAGTTATCCATGTGCCTACAACTAAGCACATGCCTGTCTATTAACTGAAGTCCATGCTCGACATGACCTGTGTGCTTCCCTGTTAAATGGGCTTGCAGTCTCAAGTGTGTCCTTGGTGCCTCTGTGATGGTTTGGCAACGTCTGGTGCAAGCATGTGGTCCAAGCCAGGGAAAGCATGAGCAGGGCGCSTGGCTCCTCCTCAGCGGGGCACTCCTGGCCAAACCACCGGGGTTCTGGTGTGGTGGTAACCGCAGAGCTGGTTGCGATGACCCTTCTCCTTCAGCATGCCCTGTGCCTCCCTGGTGCCCCTCTGTGCTTAGGTTTTCCAGATGTTGGGCCCAATGTCTGTCTTCAGTGCTGGATGGGTGTGATCTCTTTTGAAATGACAAAGATTTTATTTTTTTGTAACTGCTGGCTTATCTGTTTTTCTGTGGTATCTCACCTGATGCTAACTGCTTGGTAGAGGCTGCCTGCATTTTATAAAGACAGTTTATATTWTAAAGAGATTTTAATATCTTCTCTGGTATCTTCCCCCAGTCCCTTCTTCCAAAAATCTTATTTACCTCTGAATACCAGGGTATTACCAACCACAACTTTTAACAATTATCTGTTGACTGATAGTGCAAAGCTAAAATAATTGATMGCAACAACATAGAGGTTCTTTGTAGCAGTGAAAGAATGTATGTTCTGTGTCCGTTTGTTGGCATGCTCTTGTCCAGTGTGGATGAAGGAAAACAAATTGAACATCTCTTGTATTTTCTTAATTGTTAGCCGCTTGGAAAATTATGGGTSAGGTAAATTGGCAACCCTGTAAGTATTACTCAGTGCACAGTTCCACTCCTAGCTTTCATTCAGCTGCTTTAAGTGCATGGTGACTGGAGCTGGCTGGTTCCGCTGCTGCATTTCCCATTGTGCTGAGCGTGGAGGTTTGGGTCTCATCGGGGCTGCATGGCTTGCCTCGCCTGCCTGCCTGGSCTGTGTGGATCTCTGTGCTCCCACACTGGATAACCTGAGCTTCATTCAGAGAAAAGCAGCCACTTTGTGTACAGGTAGGGCATCACTTGCCAGTTCATCCAACATTCACTTACTGTACCTCTGGCTTCTCACGGCTCCTCATGTTAGATGCACCAATTAAGACACTTTGTGTGTGTGTGTGTGTGTATATATATATTATATACTTTTTTTTTTTTTTCTTCTGATATGGCACTCCATATTCTGTGAACCTGTCAAGGCACATTATTTAATAATCTAGAAATGCTTTAAAGTGTTTAGCAGAATTACTGTCCTAAAAATGTCCCCTTATGATTTGAATGCTGATTTCTAGGGCCTTTAATTCAGGAGCTAGAATGACTAACAAGGGSGGGCTGCTCCTGGTGTAAACCCAGGGCCTGGAAAGCTCATCCTTTTRTGAAACAGCTACAGCTTGTAGTGAGTTATTTTTGAGAAACCATTCCACATATTACTTTGTCAACGTGAAGTTGTGCTGTGACGTTGCACTGTCAATAGCTTGTGAATCAGAAGCCTTGAGCAGCTGATAGCTGCTGTCCTCTGTTAAAAGGTCTGTGTAATGCAGAGGAAGGTGAGTGGGTGCTCCATTTGCTGGGTTTATTTTCAAAGTCATGGCTGCATCCCTTCTGAAATCCCTTTCTCCTTGAAAAATGGTGTAAGTTAAATGGTCAATGTTTGGAGTCATTTTTTATGCATTTTGATCGACTTCTGCTTTTGTCAGAGGCAGAAATGATAGTTAACTAGAACATAGAAGTAAGTCATTTCAAATTGGATTTGGGGATTTCTGACCAAGGTTAAGTGAGAGATGTTGGCTGTGTCAGGGTCCTTCTTAAAAGCAAGTTTTCCTTTCAGTAGTCAGTATAGCTGGTRGAAGAGACGTACTTTTAGCTCCTCTGAAGATGTATATATGAAGGTACAAATGCATGCAATTCTATTATAAGYGATGCTTAAAGAAGCATCAGCTGTAATAGAATTATATGCATTTATCTGGAAAGATAAAAGTATGAAATATTTTATTTGCATATTTACATGTGTGTAAGTTTAAAAGCCCTATCTTTTGAACTTATAATTTTCCATAGGTTTGCTGAATGCAGTTCAATTCTAAGTGGGCTTAACTTGAAAACTTCAGACGATATTTTGCCTCTAATAGTTGGAGTAAGAGAAGAAAGGTTTTTTTATTGTTGTGTCTCGCRGTGAGTTTTGGAATTGGAAAGCAAGCAGCAGTGCTTTCTGAAGCGACCCAAGATAAGCAAGTAAAGGCAAKCTGCTTTTGTGACTGGGAACAAAGAGTTACTTGAAGCAGCTTTTAAGTTGCTAAAATTAATACTCAGTGTTTATAGGAGTAGTAATTGCCACCTGCAGCAGAAAGGCTGAATGATCCTTTAATTAAACGTAGGGGTTTTATTTTTCTGAAAATATGTACCTGACCTGAAAAATCTCATCTGTTGTGCCCAAAAACTAGTCTGGGAAAGCAGATGCTCATATTTGGTTAAAATGTTAGAGAATATTAGGTTAAATTGGGCAGTTCAGTTGGGAATCATCATGAAATTAGATACTGCTAATAAAACAGGGCACCAAAGATGTTGCTCACAAAGTCTTTTACTTTTTGTTATCCCTTCAGTACTCTTTGTTAACTCGACAAATGGCAGGAGTTGCTTGGTTTATTTAGCATTTCATATTGCATGAGGCCCAGTTGACCTGTTTCTATATGGTTAGTATRGGGGGGAAAGGATTAATATGTAAATACAGAACATGGAAAACTAAAACGAGTCCTTTGAGAGTGATCTACAAAGTGACATCTGTATGAGGGTCTACAAAGTGACACCTGTATGAGGTTACTCATCTCTTCCTAGCTTTGGAAGTTGTAAAAGGTAGGTAGAACCTGCCTTTTCCTATGAAACCCTGTACGTTATTCCCAAGTGAAGCTCTTGAGGAAGCTACTGCAGCGCTTCAGGCCAGGCTTCGTTTGCGTTGACCCTCGTTTGCAGACTGTGCCCCGGAGCGGGGAAGTGTCTTGCAGACGTCGTGACTTGAATGTGCTCTGACATCTTATGTGACCTGCACTGCATGCCTTTGCTTGGATGAGAGTGCTGCAACAAAAATAGACCCTGGGTTTCTTTCTTTTCTTTTCTTTCTCTCCTTGCTCATGTAGATTGGGGGCTGCTGCAGTCTCAACGTCTTCTCTGTGCGTGACAACAGATTATCGCGAATCCCCCCTGAAATTTCACAAGCCACTGAACTTCATGTTCTGGATGTTGCTGGAAACAGGTAGGAGACTTTTGTATTGTCGCATCTTTCTGCTGGTTTTACGTAATTCTCCCTAAAGACAAAGACTTTAGGTAAAAGAATGAAGTGGCAGAAAGCAATTTCTGACTTTTGGGTTGGCATAGCTATCGCTATTGCCCAAGCCACCTGCCTCCGTGGCACAAAGTAGCATAAATTGCCTGATACCTCCTTAGGTTTTCTGAGTTGCTTTGCTGGTGAGGAAAAGGTAAGTTCCAGGGTTTGTGTAGTCCAGGTTTCTAAACTAAACCTGAGAATTGAGGCAATTCAGTAGAACCTCAGTTTATCTGTCTTAAAGACAAATAACTTCACAGCAGAAGTTGACTGTGAAATAAAAATGTTAATAGAGTGCCTTATCTTAGCAAAATATAATGCAAGTAATGAATATTGTAACTCTGACCTTGTGTTGTTTTTGTGAATCTTAATTGATGTGGTTCAGAAATCAAAATAACGTAACGTTACATTAAGGCAACGCGAACAACTATGGGAAAAGCAAAAGGCATGCAGTTGATGCAGTGTAATTCTTTCATAAGCACTTACATGCTTCTATTCTGGCAATTTTATGTACAAAGCCATAAAGAAGCAGCAGCAGTCAATCTTCTACTATAATTAACTGCAGTTGAAGAAACACTGTTTCATCAGCATCCCTTTATCTGGTACTCTCTGCCACATGCAATTACGATATAAAGTTAAGCTGCAGGTTCGTACAATGAGACTGGAATAGCTTGAGCTGATGGATACCACAGTGCCTTGTTTGTTGACGTCACTTCTCTGTTCATTCYCAGCCAGTAATCTATGCTAAACAGATGCTCAAGAAGTTGACTCGTAAGCGCCCAAGAAATTTCCCTGCATCTTTTCTTTTTTCTTCATTTAGGCTGATGTATCTTCCCCTTTCACTGACTACCTTAAAGCTGAAGGCTCTGTGGTTGTCTGATAACCAGTCCCAACCGTTGCTGACGTTTCAGACTGATACAGACCCTGAAACAGGGGAAAAAATTTTAACGTGTGTATTACTGCCTCAAATGCCTTCTGAGCCTGGTTGCCAAGGTAAATACTTCAGTTTTGCTTTACATATAAATACTTCTGCCTTGAGTGTGTTGCCCGTTACCTAAAAGTTTGTAAAACAGGTTTTTGAAACCTGTGCATTAGGTTAATAAGCATAACTCTCTTTTTTTCCACCTTTTTTTCAAAAAAATCATATATATATATTTAAACATACTAGTTTTCACAACACTTCAAAATATGGCTGTAAGTACTACTGAATATACAAAGCCAACTACAATAGATGAAATGCATGAAGAGCTGCACATAATTGCATCATCCTATGAAGTTTTCCACTGGGATGAATAGTGGTGCCCATGTTTGTATACGAAGATTAYACATTTAGAATAGATATATATGGTGACAACTGGTGACTTTCCAGTTACAATCACTGGAAAATACTGGAAAAACGATTGAATAGCCAATAATAAGCAGTAGGCATTTTACTTTGTAGCACGTTATGCTTCTTTCAAGSATAGATGCTGTACAGTAACTTCATTATACTCTTAGACACACTGAAYTGATGGGGAAGGGCAGATCTGCACTGGAGGGTGTTTTTATCTTTTGTGCCTAAACTTGCCTTAGCTCAAACCTTAAACTCTTGTTCTTCAGCTAGGCTGACGCTCCAGTAACTCCTGGTCGTTATTTATCTCCCCAAAGCTTTTACAGCAGTTTGCTCAAGGTAATTTTTCTGAGCTAATCATTTAAACTCGTGCTGTGATCACGGGAGGGTAATTCATCCCTTCCCAGCACAGACTTTGCAAAGAAACCATAGGGCTTGTTCTCCACTCACTGCGGAGGTCAGTGTAGTTCTGTCTGTAGGTTCTAAGAAGCTGGAGTAAAGCAATGGATAGAAGTCATTGAAAACAGTAGAGGTGATTCAGTTCTGTGTCAGCTTCTGGATTTTAAGATAATACAGATTATATTAAATAAGAAAGCAACTTGTGAGATTTAGCAGAAGAAAACAGAACTAATCAAGAGYGGTGTCCTCTTCCTCTAATGAGTCTCATGGCTTCAAGGGGAGGAGATCTTGAGGTCGCAGTACCAGAAGGATGATGTTAGTAAAAGCAGTGACTGTGGGGTGTCATCTAGGGAACTGGCCTACATCACATGGCAGCCTTAATTTGAAAGAAGAGCATGTCATTTTGGCAAATATATTAAATTACATTGTTAAATCATCGTATCATTAAAACTTAACAAACCCAATACTGTACAAATATGAAACCCTTTCATTTTTATAGAAACTGATTGAACGTGTATGCCTGATAACAGGAAATTMACACTAGTTCTGCTTTCTTTCCAAAATACAGAACTAGGCCACTGTAAACCCAGATGAGTGGTTGTTTGGTTATTACAATTAATAAAAATAAATGTTTTGAGGGTTTAGACTTTCTGTTAATCCTCAGTCATGTTTGCTGTTCTAACAGATAACCTGCCACGATGTGGTGCATTGGAGAGCTTGGTAAATGAAGTGTCAGATGAGACGTGGAATGAGCGGGCGGTGAACAGAGTCAGTGCAATTCGCTTCTTAGAAGACGAAAAAGATGAAGAGGATAATGAAATGGTAGGTTCGGCAACCCTTGGGCACCCCCAGGCACCGTGTCCTTAATACAAAAGTGTAGAGAGAAAAAAAAAAAAAAAAAAAAAAAAGTCTGAGCTGTCTTTCTATAAACATTTCAGCTGTGGCTGCACACTTCTTGTTTGCATGTTTATAGCAGAAACTTTTCATATTAACTGCCAAAGCTTTTCGTATTGACTTAAAATTTGACTGAAAATGTTTTTTTTTTTTTCTTTTCTCAACGTATCTTTCAGTTCTGATGCAAGACGAGTGTTTGCTTTGCATGGTTTTCCTGAGTCTCCTTAAGATGTTTTCCTTCTAGCTTTCCAGTAACAAGATAGGATCTTCCTCCTGCTGCATCTGTGAAGCTTTTCTGCTTGAAACTAGATAGGGCCTAACACAGAATTCCAGCACTCTGGCATGTGTCCCTGTTAAGTTTGCTACGCTGTTTGTCTCTCTCGCTTCCATTTTCTGTCTGTCTCTTAGCTTTTTTTCTTCACCATTTGCTTTGAAAAGACCATAGTGTCCATGAACAGCAAGAATGTTGCTCATTCGTTCCCCACATGAAGAAAGGATGTGGGAACATCTGTCACGGTACTTATAAGACCTCCGTTAAGTTGGACACTTGAACATCAAAATGGAACTCAGTCTTTAACTTCCTAACTTTAAGTTCACCAATTTTCATTAACAACTAAACAGCCTKATAAAGTTTAAGACTGCTTGAATAAGATTTTCAGCAGGCTAGAAGCTAAGTTTTGTTCAAGCCTGATAGCCAARTAAGGGGGTCTAGCCTCTAGGTATGGGCTGCATGTGTCTGCTTGATTACTGTCAATAGGGCTGTGCTAGTTTAAGCTCAGTAAATAGTCTTTGCATAGATAGAATGTGGTCTCTTCACTTACTTTGTGTGATGTGTATATATAGGTGCTAATGACAGTTTGAGATCTGTGCATTTAAAAAACAGAATCCAGAATTCAAAGAATAGCCCTCTCTTTATAGGGAGATTTCATGTTCACTGTTTCCAGAATAAAATTTACTCCCAAAMAAAAACAAAGTGCAAAGCCTCTGTAGCCAAATATAGTTCTAACTTTTTCTGCCTTGTTGATTTCATCTACAGTGATGCAKAAATAGACCTTTTAGTAAGGTAATGGGGCTTCTTGGCTGAAAGCCAGAACATCTGAATGGGAATTTGTAGTTGTGTTTTCCTTGTCCCCTTGCCCCTGCCTCTCCATTCCCGTCTCCTTCGGGTATGGCCACAAGATGCAGGGATGTAACAGGTTGTTGCTCGTCAGCTGCACTTGGCTTTTGCTGGGGTGTGTGCGTCCCCATAGCTGCCGAGGTGCTGGTGCTTCCCAAACCTGAGCCAGACTGGGAATGTCCATTCAGTTCCCAGGGCTCAGGCAGCATCGTGGAGTCATAATATTGCATCCTGACTTGGAGTCATAATATTGCATCCTGACTTAAGGCACGAACTCTCTTTTTAGGGAAAAACAGAAGCCTATGATTCTATTGGAAGGAGAGGGGAATTTTTGAAGTGGTTTTGACCACTATTCCCATTTACGGGTCATCAGTTCCACTATAATTTAAATAATTTACTTGTATAACACTAAAAATTGATTACATACATATGTATAATACACTGTGCAATCATTCTTAGTGAATTGATAGCCTCTAATCCGGATGCTAACTGAAGTTTTTATCGTTTTTGTTTTCCTTGCAAAGGTGTCAACAAAATGATGTTACATCCTTGTATCTAATATGCAATAAAAATGCTCCCTCCTCTTCCCTTGGTGGGGCTGGAAGGCACATAGATTTCCACACAAACGTGTAATTGACTTTGAGAGAGGTCTTGTGGGATTCTTTCAAAGCCAGATGGATTTTGCTTTGTTTTGAAATGTGATCTTAAATCACTTGCATGGTTTTAGGGGGGGAAAAAAAATTTCTCGGCTCTATTTATGAAAGAATCTTCATTTTGTAACTTGTAATTGTACTTCACTGGAGTGGTTTCCAGACTGGTAGTCAAGCAAGGAAAAATTTTGCTTCTAGGCAATTCTGAAAACATCTTTCACTGTCTTTATCCACAAGCAGCTCTGAAATAACATCCAGAATAAAGCATAGCTTAAAAAGCAAAAGGGGAAAAATGCAATTGGGAGCTAATAGTCGGTATGTAAATGCTAAAGCCTTGAAAGTGTGTTGTTTTTCAAAGAGATGGAGGCAAAACCACTTATTGCGCTGTTTATTTTTAGAGAACACTTCTAAGGCGAGCCACTCCACACCCTGGAGAATTAAAGAACATGAAAAAGACAGTGGAGAATTTACGGAATGATATGAATGCTGCTAAAGGACTGGATTCAAACAAAAACGAGGTCAATAATGCCATTGACAGAGTGACCACTTCTGTGTAGAGTTTCATCTCCAGGTTTTACCTCCTGTGTCTTCCCCTGCTGTTGAAATGTTCCTGTCGTCTTCTGGGACCTCACTGAGCCCCTCTTGTTTTTCACCAGAATCCGATTCATCGTCTCCATGTATGTGACAAGTGCTGCCCGCTGGAAGAAAGTGCCTTATTTCATCCAGGCAGTGAACCAGTAATTTCCAAATCAATATTGTAATTTTAATAGTGCTAGGCTTTTTTTTTTTTTTTTTTTTTAAAGTATAACACACTACTGTATACAGAATACATTATTTTTGTCTTGAGTACAGGTGAAATAATGCTTTTCTTTTCAGAGTGCTGGGATATCCTTTTCCCAATGGCTGGATGTGCTGGTGAGAAATATAGTTTTGTGGAAAATTGATACACTTTTTTATTTTTTTGGCAGCTCAGATGGTGTAAATTTTAAAATTTTGTATAGGAGTTTCATATCAAAATGGTGTATTTCATTTTTAAGAGAAAATTATCTTAAGCGGTACATATTTTAGTATTTGTGGAAGAGAACAGATTACATGGACAACTGTATTCATTTATTTGTACCACCCGTTGTGCCTTAATGTGTCTTATATGTCATATTAGTCTTAAGAGAACTATCAATCCTTGAGAAAACTGAGTGGGTTGAAACTTGGTGTCCTGGTTTAGATATGTTCTAAAATTCAGCAATTTGTTGGGACTTTTACACAACAGGACTTCTGTTTATATCATGGGATTTTTGTTTGTGAAGCACAAATGTTAGCTTTGTTGTATACAGAATTAAGATAAAAAAGACCAAACTGCTATTGTTTATTACATAATGCACTCACACTTTAACTTAGTTGTAATGAAACATCTTTTTGGATGCGGTGTTGAATTGCGGTCAATAGAAATTCATGCTTCCATGTTTTTAAATGTGCCATCTGTCAAATAACTTGAAGAACAGCACAATAGACTTTCAGAAGCACAGTATGAAACTAGTTTTATGTGTAACACGAGAAAGCATGATTCTYTAAAGTGCTTTGGTGGTTTTATATAAATATATAAAACCAAAATAAAAAACCCCAAAACTTTAAAAACCCTCGCTAGATTTATTGTATCATTAAAATGGCGATTAAAGTGCATATGGAATAATGCTGAAATCCATTATCAGTGTTACTGAGTTGCACTTCCAGTGGTTCAGTGTGGATTTTGGGGTGTTACAAAACTTGAAATTCTGGTTTGCTTATAAGGGTAAGTCTTACTTGAGGTTAATTTGGTAAATAACCGTTATGAAAAAGGTTGGTGAAAACTGTTTTAAGGCACAGCAAAACGCAATGCCGAGTTGAGATGTGTCCCTTATTGCTCATGCCCATGTGTCTGGCCCGGGAGGTGGGGGAAGTGGTGTCACATCAGTCCCTATCCATAGGCTCTTGACACAGAGTCTGTTTCTGAGACTAAATTAATGGGTCTGTGTTGTCTCTGGGTGCTCTGCACGTGCAAAGACCATTAACCCTTCTCCATGTAGGCTCCTGAGCAGTCTCACTTCAGAGTAAACTTCAGACTTAGTTGACTATAACCTTGGGTAGAATTTTCCTTCTAAAGCAGTGACAAAATAAATGTAGAAAACACTTGGACTGTAACTAGAGCTCAAATAAATGACAGCAAATCCATGTGAGATGAAAATGAGTTCTTCAGAAAAGGCAGATTGAAGCAAAGGCAGCAAGGCCATGTGCTCCGCAATAACTACAGTGTTGTCCAGTTAGGGGGCATGTGCTCAAGAACTAAATAAGCGAGATCAATCTACTGCTCTYGTAGCTTGGAAGGAATGTGTAAAGCTTGGATTTGGGTCCTGCCATGAAAAGAGAATAATTAACTGCCCTTGTGCACTTATTCTGCTGAACTCCGTCCGTAAACTGTGGTAGCTTTATGGTGGGTGCTTCGGCGTTAAGGAGGTGCTTTCTTGACTCGCAGGCAAGCTTGTAGGAACTGTGCAGGAGCCCAGAAACGAGTCCTAAGACAGGCACCWATACCAATATACACTAGTTGCATCAACACTGATGTGAAACAATTGCTAAGAAATCAGCTTTTGATTTAGCAGTGTAAGGAATGTGTTTTGGTCCCGGCACGGAAGCTGCGCAGGAGCAGTGTTGCCTTCCAGCTCCTTTCATCCTGTAACTGTTGGGTGGCTGGTCTAGATSGTAGAAACCCTAGCCCAAGATAAGAGGTTTGAATTGCTTGTTGAAGACCTCTATTTGCCTCTACTGCTTCATAGATGMATGCAAATGAACTGAACTTGGAAAGCAATCCAGTGTTTGTGCAACTGGAGCCTGGGGAAGTGCCTCACCAGAGCGTCCTGCTGCTGCCCTGAGAGACAGCCGGTGTTCCCAAATTTCAGTGCTCTTACAAGTCTGTCTTCGTCGTGTGGATCTGTGTGATGAAAGTCTGGAGGCCCATGATTTTTCTTTAAGGAGGGTCTAAGGAAGAAGTGTCTTTTTAAATCTAAGCTGAGGCTATAGCGYTTTGTCTTGGTAAATCTTGTTTATGCTCTTGGGGTTAGGCCGTTAGAGATGCTGCTCTACCAGAACTACCGGTAGTTCAGCAGTATGAACTATCTGATGAAGGATGT